TACTACTAATACTACTACTAATACTACTGCATCCAGTACGATCCTTAGTAGCACCACAACACTTACCAGCTTCGCTACATTTCATTGGTATTGCTGCTAGCAGCATTTCTGCTGGTACCGTTGCCATTGCAGACACCATTGGCAGGGATGTTCATAGTTGTTCGTCCTTCAGCCACAAAGCGGAATGATTCTCAGCGTTCCTCTACTCCCTTGCAACTTGGAGCAGACATCCCTGAAGGCCTTAAGGAAATAAGCCCGAAAGCACAACACAATACAAAGTTCAAACACCAAACAACACCCAAGAGCCGTGTAGATACAGGTCATGGCTGCATTGGAAACTGATAGACCTTCGTATCAAACAGCAAGAGCAGCCAAAGCCCCACCCCCAAACGATGCACCTCGAGTGAAGACCTGGGCGGGAAGGACTTCTGACTTCGTGCAATATTCGGGATGCAAGAAGTAAGCTCGTTTATTCAGGACCTAGGGTCCAACTTTACAGACTTAGGGTAGTTAGGCTCCAAAACACATTCTTGATCAAGCAGTAAATGGCGAATGGTGCGTAATCCATTTCGCGGGCTTCATGCTGAAAGTACCAGGAGGCTTAGTGGGCAACATTTGTCATAGCTAACTACAACTCCTATGAAAAGACTTAATCCCCTGAGCCTGAAAGTGTTTGGCTAAGAGACCACTCATGTGGGAGTACGTCAGCGCCTGTTGAACCGCAAAACAGGACATGCCTTACTCCGATTATGTATCGACTGTACGAAGTACAGAAGGGCTACAGGTTCCTCCTTGATCAAGATCCTTTAGTAAGTCAAGCGTGGCAGGATTTGGGAGTCGGAAGTCTCCGGACACATCCGATAGCGATGTCCGAAAAAAGCTCGTTTGCCATTCTCGTCGCGGTAGGCCCCTGATGAATAACGGATCAATGTTACGAATACCGACGATGCTGGTGAAAGAATGTACGGATTATACACATGCTCTATATATATATATATATGCTAGACAATGACCTCCTCAATGGTATGTCACAGAGATCCAACTACTACTTAAGTTTCGCAAACAAATTCGCGTGCAGAGTATCTGTCGAGGTGCTCCTTGACAAGGTTCCCCAAACCAAGTCCTAAACACACCGACCCATATAACCATTCCGGAACTGCATCTGTCTTTCCACAAACCCCAAGCCAGCTTTGCAAGTAGAGTTTTGCATGCAGTTCAATGAACAAACCATCCCAAGTTGACATCTAGGCATCTTCCGCATGCCCACCTCAGGTCCGTTGAGCATAGCGACTTCGTTGAACCTGAGTCTTCGCGTTTGGTTGGGCCGTGTTTTGGGTGAAAGTCTGATGATGCAGGGCTTACCGTGCGCATTGCCTTTCACTCCTCGGGCTCTCCTGTGCGACATCTCGGGCCTTCAGGGTTCCTCCTTCCAAAGCCAGGCCCCCCAAAAGCTTCAGACCGCTGATGGATAATAAAACTCAATCTCACGTTTGATCAAGAGATCCATACTACTTAAGTAAGGAAGGGGATTCATAGATCAACCTACTGGATACGAGTAGCCTTGTAGTGCCACAATGTAGAATCTCACAGGGATTTTTTGGGGAACCCCAGGGTTGTGGTAGGTGACTAAAAAAGTCAGCAATATTGGGATCGATTTCCATCACTAAAACCTGTAACAGCAACATGCACTAGATCAGTGCTGCTGCGAGGATTCGGGCCCGTTACAGACCTTGGAGGCCTTCATGCAGGGGACATAGAGCCTACAAGCAGCAGTGTCTGATTGAGCACCCATGCTGCTCTTTCGCGCAGGAGTCGCAAGCACGTGACCCAAAACAAGAAAACAGTCACTGCCCCCCAACCCCAAAAGTCTGAATTCGAAAACGCCGCTGGGCTCGTGGCTATCATTGAATGTGGACGAGTCGTAATAGTACATCATGTTGGGGGTCTTGTCAACCTTCCGGTGCAGGGTTATGGGAACTCAAGCGCCTTGCGGCTTAGAGATCGGGTTCTTACAGGCCCGTGTGCACAGAAGGACCTTTTTCGGGAATCTCCAGTATGGGTTGTGTTTTGGGGCTTCGAAGGCTAAGGGTTCGGGTGCGCTGGGGTGGGGCCGTTGTTAACCTGCTGCAGTGTCTCGAAGCAGCTCTGCCGTCCTTGCTGCTGCTACTTGAACGTCCAGGGTGCAGGTTACGTGTACTCATCGAAAAACAAACTTTGTTCTTGAGTCATTAACATCTTCATCATCGCTGTGCAAAGACTACATTGACATGGTCAAGTGCCATCTTCAAAAACTGGTTTTTCAGGAATAAAACTGTAGCTGACTCCTGATCCTTCCTGCGCTGTCTTGTCTAAAAGCTTCTTGCGCAGCACCCTGACAGCCAAACTCCACAGGTGTTGAGGTCCTAAACGAGACTTTGAAGGTTTCCTGTTCAGGGCCTGGAAAAAGCAAAGGAGGAATGTGCCATGCTGTTCTTCTGAACTTCTCACTTGGCGCTTGTTCAAACTACTTGTCCGCAAAAGAAGGATAGGTCTGCCTCTGGGTTAGGGTCTCCCATCAATAGGGTTTAGGGTTTAGGGCTTAGGGTTTAGGGTTTAGGGTTTTCGGAACAACGCCCATTTCCTGGTCTTTCTTGCACGGAGCTCTCTACTCTGCCACCCGCTCCCTTTCCCCGTCAATATTGTGGTGGTGAAGGGTTCGCAGAGAAGCCCAAACCCCTTAAATACAGAGAATGCCTTAAATCAGAGTCAGAGACCCTGTATAGATTTAAAGGTATATCTCCTAACTCTGCATCGAAGGATTTGGTACGTCTAGAAGAAGCACTTCGCCTCAGGTCCGCAACATACAAAGAGAAAGCCCCAAGCCCGGAAGTCCATGGCCGCAGAAGCCGTAATTAAAGCCTCAGCCCCGACCTCCATTACACCAAAACGCATCAAAGCGCCAGCTCCACACCCCTAAATCCTCAACTTCTAAAGCAGCAAACCGTGGCGCGTACTGAAGCCCTAAGACGCCTAAACCCCTGAAACGTAACACCACAAACCCTTCCATCCCCTACACCCCAACCCGGAACCCTGGAACCCTGGAAGACCCTTCTAAAGCCTAAGCAACTTAAACACACAGCTTCAGCACCAAAAACCCTAAACCCTAAACCCAAAAACCAGGCCCTGAACAAAGAGTCGGCCGACCTGCAGCGTAATTTCACGATTGGGCGGCGAACGCCTTCGATCCATTTTGTGGTTTGTGGTTGGGGTCTTGAAGGACCCATTGAAGGAGCTGTCATGGTTTGATGAGGCCTCATAAAAGGGTTTTGGACGAGGTTCGACGGCTTGGGCTTTGCATAAGATGTTTGGGGCTTCTTGGGATTAGGGTTTGGGCGTTTGGGGTTCAGGGTTTAAGGCTTGAGGGCTTTGGGTTTTGTGAGGGCTCTTGTTCCAATGCTAAGTCTCGATGGGGAGAGCCTACAACAAAAACGGGCATTAGGCTACCTCTAGAAGGCTACGTCTGGGGGCCGGAAGGCCCAGAACCTGTAAAGCCTACGTGTGTATGGAAGTGCTTCGCATTCCCTACCCGCCAAACTTGAATCTCACTCCCGAGCGCAAATCTGTCACACACCAACCTATGAACGCCTTCTGAGAACGCACATGTGCTAGGAATTAGAAACCTAGCTCAGGTTCAAAGCCGAGATCACAGTCACGGTTGAAGTCTCAACCCATCTGCTCACGACCGAGACAAGAAACGCCAAACTCCTAATCCCCTGAAATCAACCCCAAACCCCACGTCCCTGCCCCCTTCCCCGGATCACCCGGTCGAGCTGTTCGAGTTCGACGGACTTGCTCCTTGCTCCTTCTCCTTCTTGCCGAACAGCCCCATCACCTCGTACCTCTTCAGGGTTTAGGATATAGAGGGCCTTCGTAGGTTTGGGAGTTGAGACTCATAGGGCCCTTCTTTCAGCTCGGGCTTCTGGCTTCGGCTGCGAGACCAGACGTTCCTTAACAGACTGCCTTTGCTTCCTCGGCATTTTGCCATGAGCTCACATCCCATCTTAAGAAGCCCCAAGAAGCCCTAAGCCCAAAAGGACTCATCCCTAGATCCTGAAGCCCTGAAGCTCCGAAACCGGAAGGCCTAACTCCGAGGACCTACAGCAGACTGTTGAAGTCATAAATGCGCTCGGTCGGGCAGTCAGGATTGAGTCGAGCTTACCGTGCTTTAGACCAGTTGTTGCCACCAGTTGCCTACGACTGTACCCGGCCCAACTATCAAACCTTTCTGTGGCAGGAGCACGTCATTGTGGTGTACTTCTTGCCCTTGACCTGCACATTTCCCAGACCTGCTCGTGTCAGAGCGTTTTCGAGCAGCAGCGCTTTCTAAGTCAAACGTGCATCTACCCACGTAGGCTACTTTCAGAAGCAGCGAAACAGGCAAACGAGTGGCCAGCCTTAAGCCTGAACCTCCAACCTTGTGAGCCTACACCTTGCAAATCCCGTGAAACAGAATGCGACATCGCATCTGGTTCCTCTCCTAGAAGTCAGGCTCTTAGAAATGGACACAACAAGAGACAGGATCTGTCACTACGCGCCCCTGCGCCAGGTCTCTAGACATCGCAACAATGACACTTGCCGATGGTCATCCCACCTATCCCTATAAGCTGGGATAGAACTCTGTGCGAGCCCAGACGGGACTACTGCGCTCTGCGAAAGGGGCGTTGAACGGTTTTATGGGTGAGGCTTTTTACCATCTTTATCTACAGCTTCATTCTCGCGGCACCTAAATCTATCGGTATCAGTATCCATATTTTCGCTGTGAGATCTTTGGCTGCAGATATTGGGCTTCGGTTCTCGTTCGGAGGCGGTGGGAATCCCAAACTTGAAGCACGGCAGGCTGATGGAACATAGAAGTAGAAGGAAGATTTGGAAGCTTTGCTATGTGTGTGTATATATATATATAAATAATTAATACATGCGCATTGGTTGCCTGCCTGTATGCCTGTCTGTATGTATGTACGTATGTATGCAAGGACGTATGCACGTGTGTAAGGGTGCACGTATGTACGCATATGCATACATACACATGCATGGAACACCCTATGTTGCAACTTAATCCTGACTTTCATTTACGAAAGTCGCTTCGAGCCGAGTAGAAGCAGAAGGGCCCAAGAAACGTGACCCAATCACTTCTCGGTGTGCATGATAGCAGTTGACTCACCTATGGTTCGGATTTCATGACAAGGAGATGCAGTCTCAATGGTCCCAGATAAAGCTTTACCTTATTGAGCAAGCATGCGCCACCTCGACCGAAACCGCTCGTATGCCAAGTATGAGTACTGTAAGGACATCTGCCTGGGTTATCGTCGGGTTAAAGGTAGACACATATCGTTACCATAGGTATCTTGCACCCTGAACCGTCAATCCCAAATCCCTCTCTTTGATGATCAATCTCGACGATGTACAAAACCATGCCAAGGCAAAGTACAGCTTCATCATCTGTTGATCATGAACCTCCTGAAACAAATCCTGAGCCCCTGAACCCTTATGCAAGTAATACACAAGAAGAAATAGTAATAGACTAAGCAAGGTAACCCCAAACCCTAAACCACAGAACCGCAAACCCTAAATATCACAAAACCAAATACCCAAAACTCTCACTCCTAAATACCAAAACCCGAAGCCCTGAAGCACTGAAAACCCTGAGACGCTCGGGTCTTCTCGGAAGATATGGGAGCCCCTGCGTCGGAAGATGAACTCATAGTCCGACGATGTGTCCTTTCTATCAGCTCGAATTTGGGGTTTAAGGGTTTCAGGGTTTAGGGTTTGCGGGGTTAGGGTTTAGTGGTGTAGGGGTGTCTCAGCCTTAGGGATTGGAGGTTTAGGGCTCGGTGCTTTTAAAGATTCGGGGTTCGGGTGATTCAGCGGCCAAGGGATGGCGGGTTGGGGACGTTTGTGTTTGCTGCTAGTTTGTGATTTGTTCACGTTGGGAAGTGTTTCAGGTTCCCTGCGTTGTGAAAGTCGGATCTAGCTGACCAGGGTCTCCCGTAATGGAGTTCTTCACTTCCTGAAACTCCCGTGTAGGATTCGAAGATAAGTCAAAGGCCTGGGAAGCAAAGAGAGCAAATCCTGGAAGTGATCTCACATCTTCGTCGTTGACATCTGTGATGAGACGAGGGACTGATTACAACTCTATCCAGCCAGATGCCTACGACTCCCCTTGAACCAAAAACGCCCGAAGTCTGTAGACACCCGAAAAGAGAAGGTCCAAGCCCAGGCCTCCATCGTCGCCCCCGAGCAGAGGACACCTGTCAAGTGGAGAGAGCAAAGCTCTTTTAAAGTTGGGGTTTCGGGTCAAGGGTTACTTGAAAAGCTGAGGTTTACGGGGGTTTTGGGGTTCAGGGTCATCTTTAAAGATGGGGTTTTGGGGCTTTAGAGGGTTTGCATATTGGGGCTTCATGCACGCTTTAGGGCGCCCCAAAACCCACATAACCAGAAGGATTTCACAATCAAGGTTTCCTGCGATCCAGCTTATGAAGGTCTTTACACAAGATCTTTCTGCGTATGTGCTCTTTGTGGAACCTTATCACAGCATGGTTTTTGGGCAGCTCTGAAGGTTCGATCTAAGGGGAGTGAAGAACAGGCTTGCTTTTCCATGAGAGAAGGCAGAAAGAGGATATCCTAAACCCTAAAATCCTAAACCCGAAAACCCTAAACCCCTGAACCCTGAATGCAAAACCCAAAATCGTAAACCCGAGGCTGAGGTGGCAAGCTTTGGGGCTTAAAGCCATCGCCGCACACCTCGCCTCCGGGCCTCCGAGTTGCTCGGAACAAGGGTGTGACCTTCCTGGTACCATAACCGATATCCAGTCGAGGGCCACAAAACGCCAAAATAGCTTCTGAACGGTAGGTACTCCATTGTGACTTCATTGAGAATCATTCAGCATGAAGAATGAGACAACACGTGGCAACTCTCGTAGGAGCAGAATGCCGACGACTAGTCCTGACACGGCAGTATTCTAGTAGAAAGAATGTCATGTAGTTTGTCACATTCGACGACGGTTGGGGGGCTTCTTTCGTGACTAAGTCTGGCCCAAAGCCTCAAGTCCGAACCTAAGATTGAAATTCTGCGGCTGCGACGACAAGCACAATGCGTCGACATTCCTTTTCGCAGCCATGTCGTCCAGAGCTCTTGAGGTGAGACACTCCATGCTCACCCTCTGCTCATCAGGCAGCTCCGTGGAGCCTTGCCAGGTGCGGAGGTCGAGGAAGAAATCGAGCTGCCAGGCATATTTCTCTTTGGTGCTGTTCTGCTTCGGAAGAGACCATGGTGGGTACAAATACAGCATACGGGGCTCGTCAGCGACCAAGCCTTCCTGCAACAACTTGGACATGGGAACCAGGAAGACGCCTTGCAACTCTAAGTCCTCGTCCAAAACGCAGGCGACCAACAAGTCAAAATCGTCCTCCACGTACGCAGCTATCTGGCCCGACCCTGCTCTTTTCCACATTGACGCTTGATACCTGCCAGTCTTCTGGAGGCGAGACGCCTTCTCTTGCAAGCGCATCACAGGGCACCCGATGCCAACCTCCAGAAGGGAGTCGACCGTGGTCCCATGTACATCAGGACGGGACAGGCTCCAACTCATGCAATCGAACAAATTTCTGAGCTGCCGATGCGCAGCTGCCTCAACTCGATTAGTAGGGGAGCACTGGTGCTCTGCGTCTTCAACTGTCATGTGGGGAAACTGTCGCATGTCTTTGAAGCAGGCAACCAATTGTGACCCCATGTTTTCCACCCTCCGATCATTGTCACTTTCACATCCGATGGTTATGCTTATTTTCTCAACCTTCAGTTCCTCGCCGGCGGCCGCCCAAAAGTGGCCTCCATCCAATGCGACAAGCACGACCAGCATACCGTCGTATCCCAACAAACGGTGAAACATGTAAACCCTTCCTTGCTTCCACCGACTTGTTGCTGCCTTGATCTGAATCGGTGAACCAGCTTGTGACGAGCCACGCAGCTTCAACAGAGCATCTGCTTTGGAAGACCCCGTCAAGCGCACGAGCTCGTACTTCTCTGAATAAGGTGATGCCTCCAAGGCCTCGTTCAACAGCTCGAAGGATCTGGCCTCCTTGCGCATGCTACAGCCGCCTAGTTTAAGACCACGGTTGCGCGCCTGCTCAGGTGATTGTTTGTAGGCAGCTTCCTCCTCCTCGGGAAAATTCAGTAAGTTCTTGCGCCGGAACTTGTGATCTGGAGCGTCATCGGGGTACATGCGTCTCACCTCTCGATCGTAGGCCTCCGCCGCATGAGTGGCGGTTTTAAAGATGCCGATGTAGCCTGGTCCTCCACGAACTTGCAACATTGCTTGGAAGGCGCGACTATGTTTATGATAAGTCACGCCGCGATACTTTGCAGCCTCGGCCCGGGCTGCAGCTTCCTCGTCGAGATGCGCAGGGGCCTTCAGAGGTCCGACCAGCACCGGGCAAAGTGCCCCCCGCCCCAATGCAAGCACAAGCCCAGATAACAAAGTGCGACAGTTTGGCTTCAGCATTTGCTCGCAGCGCGAAGTAGGATGAGCTGCCCGGGTCAGCTCTGCGCTCAATTGCACCTCCGAGAAAACTTAAGCAGGAAAGTGAAGCAGGTGGCCGGCGGCCCGAGTCGAAGCCCTGCACTCCCAAAACTTCAAACCCCAAACAGAAGCCCGAACCTCTATCATAATGATTATTTTCCTACCCTATCAGTCGTGTCATGGTTCGTGACACAAAAGCAGGAATACTAATGCTGCTTCAGCGGTGCAACCCACGCCATGCCCTAACATACTTATATAATACAACAGAATACAATATACCCCAAATGCCTTTCTCATTAGACAGGCCCCCCCATACCCCAAGACCCTGTAGAATCCTCAAGCGAACCCTGTTCCAATTATCAAGGCCCCTCTGCTACCCTGCCAAGCCTACGCCGAAGAACTTGCAGAGCCTCGGTTGCAAAGCGGGCATTGCAAGGCAGCACCCAAAGGACAGGGGATGAGGCTTTGGGAATGTAGGGGCTGAAGAGTTTGGGATTCTGGAGCTGGATGTTCGGGTGTGGGCTTGAAAAGGCTAGGAGCAGTAAAGTAAGTTTGGACACGTAGGATGTACCCGGCTTAGGATTTAGAGGTCTTCCAGGGCTCAGTCCTGAATGGGTTTGGAGCTCCGTCATCCAGAGCTGGGAGATCGTGGTGTTCCAGGATCGTCAGCGCAACTTACATTCACCAGGCATTCTGTGAGACTCCAAGTACACAGAAGGATGGAGTTCCGCTTTCGGACTGTGGGACCCTTGTACTCTGAACATAATACTCCCACCATAGGAGCAATTTACGTCTATCCGAGGAGCTTTACCCGGAGATACCACTTCCTCATTGCAACTCGTTGACTATGGAATGATTACGAGCGACCGGCAGCTCAAGACACTACAGCTCTTCCCGAGCACTTCCACTGACAGAAATCGTAGAGCCCGAACTACAACTCAGAACATGAGGCCTTAGCAGCCGAAGCCATGAAGTTCTGAAGCACTGGGCCCGTACATCCTATGTCCGAAGCTTGAGGTTTCAAGGCGCAAGACCTAGCATCTTCAGGTCAGCAGCTTCGAGGAGCTCCTGTGCTCGAACCCCGAAGTCTCCAGAGACCCCAGAGGCAGCGCGACAAACCTGACTCTGAAGCAACCAAGTTGCCCCTCCATCCTGCTTGCAAGGTTCACCGCATCGCCCATGCATCCTCACAAAGGGTGCAGGATATCTGCAAAAGGCAACGGACAAGAGAGGCAACCATCCACGGACCAGCATGACAAGACGCGTACAGGTACTACATCGAGCAGCACTTGTGGGAGCAGTGTATATTCAAGTCACTATGTTCCAATACATGATACCAAACCCCGAATGCCTCCCCTAACTCCCACACCACGAACCACAAGACGCTCTAACCTAAAGCCTAAGCACCAAATCCTAACGAAATTGGCCCTTACAACTAACCCAATATAACTCCCATACAACCTTGCTCTAAACGATTAACAACTTAAGGCTCCTTCTATGACACCCCGCACCCATGTGTCCGGGAAGCCTCTGAGGCCCTGACCGAATTTCAACCTCCTGGCTGAGCCGATGAGACCGGAGAGCACCGTGCCCGTGTGGATGCCGATCCCTTGGGAGTTGGCTGGGGTTCCATCATAAGGGCTAAAACTGGCTTCAGAGGGGTTCCACCCTAAACCCTAAACCTTATAAGGGTTCTTTAAGGGCGGTGTCCAAACCCCGGGTCTCATACATGAGAGTTTGGAAGGTTGGGTCTCAGGTTCCGAATTTCAAGGTCTTGGCTGTAGCGTTTGGGACTTCAGGGCTGAAAGTGTCGGGATTTTTGGACAAGGCAAGGTTTAGGGTTTAGGGTTTAGGGTTTAGGGTTTAGGGTTTAGGGTTTAGGGTTTAGGGTTCCGAGTTTAGGGGTTTTGTGTTCAAGGGGTTGGCTTCTTTAGGTGATGCAGGATTGGCAGGGTTCCAAATCCCATGGTACAGGAGCCTGATTGGGGATGTCCTGCCTTTACAACCCTTCCGTTGACAGCTTCTGCGCCCCTACAAACTCTGAAGCGAATCCTGCGACCCTAAGGCCCGAAGACAAGCAGAAACCCTCCAGGACCCTCAAACCCACACAGACAAGGCACGGATGCTCAGCGGAGGTAGTCCGTAGCCCACCAGCTGCCGGTTCCTGGGTTTGTGCGTTGTGGGGTTCAATTTGTTCATCTCGGGCTTCCGAGGTTCGGACCTTGGCCTTCAGGACGACAGCTCACGGTTTGAGTTGTAACTAAATCGTAACACTGCTTAAAGGAGGAAGTTGTGGATACTCATGTTGAGCGGTCTGTGAATGCATGGGAGATGCAAAGGAACCTCTTACTTGCAAGTGTCATCCCTCTTGCATATTCTGGAACTTTCAAGCATATGCTGCGAATCCATAAGCCTGCAAAGGAATTAGGGTTTTCCATCGGGATCGGCTGCTGCAATCTCTGGAAAGCATGCTTCCCGATTTGTCGTGCAATTGTCTCCCAACGCCTTTATTCTCACAGAAACCCAAAAACGCAAACCAGTTTCTGTCCTTCCTGGAACTGAAGTTCTGCTTTTGGGGTGATATACAAATTCGGGCCCGCGAGTTTCTGAGCTCTTGTTTCCGGGTGATGCAGCCCAGGCGGCAAGTGCGGAATGGCGCGCTGCATGGCGATAGCGGTCATGCAAGCCTTCAAGGCTTCGGGACAACTACCAACCGTGAAGCCTCACACCCATGATTCAGCCAAGCCTTAATCCCTAAAGCCCAAAGTTCCCATACTGAAACAGCTCACTCCTAGTGAAAATATACCAACCTTCCAATTAGAAAAGTGTTTTAGGATAACCTGCTGCATCTCTATATATGTATATGTATATAAGGTTAAAGAGGATACCTACTACTAAGAATTCGGATCTCTGCATTAGCCTACGTGTCCATGCGCTCATATAGTATATATTCTAGGCAGAAGTGCTTTACAGGAACCCCTTCAGGCCCAAACACGTGCAATGTGAGGAATACTCCTGACCAGATGTCGGTGCTTTCTAGCACGAAGCTTTGATACCTTAAGCTTCCAATTTCTCGAACTTTCAAGCTTTCGAACTCGACTCACTTGAAACAAGCTTTCAAGCTTGCAAAAGCTTTCGAGGTACTCGTCAGATTTCGCGCTGCCAAAAAACTCCGATTAAACGCGTTAGAGAAGGAGCCCTTGTTGCTCGGCCATGGCAATGTCGGTTATCCTGTAGCGCTACGATTACGACATCCTGGGGTTCTGTGGGATGGCTTCTTACAATCGGCCAGCACCAGCGCATTCTAGAAACAAGCTGATGCTGACCCTTACTAACCTTGGAGACACGCACACGAAGTTGAGGGTCCATTACTGCGGTCCCCTAGCAAATCTGCAAAGCCGTAATGTTTTTGATAGCAAGGAGGCTATTTCTGCTCCAAGCGTAGACATTTAAGCACCACGGCCGCAAACCCCACAACCCCCGACACGCTAAAGCCCTTTGGGCAAGCCCGGATTCAGCAAGCACAGTCACGAGCAGAGACGGAGCGGGAATGGGCAACAAGCCCATGACTGCATGAACACACAAAAGTCAGCAGGAGAACAGACAAATCTCACGTCAAGATGCAGAACCTGTGTTCAAGGTCGAACGGCTGTTTCCCAATATGCATTATTCAAAAGGAAAACCCCAAAAGGCAGAAGGGTGCTACCCCCTAAACTCCCCTTGAAGCGGGGCCTTCGTGGCGTGGTCCCGTACGTCCTGCCAGCAGTGCGATTTCTTAAAAAAGATCAAATCGGGATTGCTGAGGCTAAAAGGACTTGCTACAGGACGGACGCGCCACCCGCTTCCCGTCATATCGCCGCAGGCAGTTGAGACTTGCCGTCAACACGCTCCGAAGCAGTCATCGCGAAACCAGATCCGGCTCACACCGGACCACAGCCGCATCCTGCTGCTAAACCCTAAACCCGAAGGGGGTGTCACTGTGATCGGCTCTGCAACGCCAAAAGGCGAGCCGTGGTGGTGGCCCACCACAGCTTGTCTTCCACGCGGCTTTCGTGCCCCTGCATTCTTTCGGCTGTCAACCTCTCCGTGCCCAGTCACGGCACCATACCACCAGCATCTGCCACATTGAGCTTAGGGGTGGGAGATTCTGAGTCTGGGTCTTTTTAACTTGTAACTTAGAATTCAGGATCGAGTGCTCAGCAAGATGGAATTAGAGTTCAGGCCCTTCTAGGTAGGTAGCAACAACCGACGTTTGCTGCGAGACGTGGGGTTGAGGACATGTTGTTGAAACAGGAACCCGAGTCACTGATCCATAGACAACGACCCGTAGCAATCCATATGCCCCAAACCCTAAACCCTAAACCCCAAACCCCAAACCCTAAACCCTAATTAACTCCTAGGCCCTCAGGTCTGCATCTCCTCAAACATTACATCCCAATTCCCGAAGCCAGGACGTAACAGTAGCTATGAAGAAGCCCGAATTCGCAGGCAGCCTCGGACGCAGACCAAGGTTTTTTTTTTGGGGGGGGGCATTACTGGACATTCAGACCAGTTCCTTTTTGGGGTTACCTTATAGGATTCTATATATGAACCCCCAAAAGGAACTACTTTAGGGCCTATGGGTATGCTGAATTAACTCCATGGGATTCCGTGGGAAGAAGCTGTGCACGCCTCAGGTGTGTTCCAGAAGATGAGCAGGCCGTCGCCAAGAATCTCCGCGATCTCGCCTGGAAGGCTTCAGGGAAAGAACGCCTGAGAAACCCTCTGATTGAGAAATGCAGACCTGCGCATACAAAAGGGATATTCCTGACATCAGTCTTTTGAGGGTTTGAAGGCTTTAGGGTCCGAGGTTGATGGGAACATTCGGTTACGTCCTTTTTAGGGGTTTGAAGGCTTCAGGGTTCGAGGTTTGTGGGGGCATTCGGTGACTCGCGCAGCTTTCCAAGCCCAGAAACCTTAGCGATGCCGGCCCTGAACATCTCAGCCAAGCCCAAAAAACCCTAAAGACCCGAAGTCGTAAATCCTACGTGCTAGAAGTCTAGAGCCCTGAGATTCTAAGTTCAAGCACAAGACCCCAAACCTCTAAACCCCGGAACAGAAAACGTGCTTGTGGACCCTGAGCCCTGACACCCGTAACCTCACACGGCTTGTCCAAACCCTCAACCCGAAAAACTCTAACACCCTGCCAACTTGACATTACCGGGTTCTGACGCTTCTGTGTTCTACAACGGTTCCGATAAACCTAATTAGACTGCTAGAAGGACGCCAGATCACACAAGAGCAAACGCATGGCACTCCCAATCACAGGTAAGCTGGACTTCTTGTGCGATCCTCCGTCTTTACCGCGACTACTGGCCTCCGTTATAAATATGGCGTACTCTTAAACTGGGCGTCCCACATTGGCTTATTTAGATAGGGGCTCCTGCTTAGGGTGTACTCGGGTCGCGTCCCCTGTTGTCTAGAACTCTCATATCGCGATGACGACATGATGGCATCATGACTCTTTCGACGACGATGATTTGGATGATCATGCTGATGAAGAGACAGATCTGCATAGCACGGATAGCCCGATAGTACTATAGCAGCACTAGCACACTTATCAATACAGCATCTTGTCATTGATAGTGTTTAGGGTTCGGATCTACTAATGAGTTTCGGGACTTATACGGCTAGGGACTTTTCAACTGCAGACTCCAGCAGGGGACTCTCTTCTAGAAGCCGAAATCCACAATCTCTGCACACCCCGACCCGCGCAATAACCATGGCTGACTCTGTGGCCACTACCTCATCAGTTGCTGCTACTATCCCTGCGACACTTTCTGTTCCCATTGCTGTTCCTCTTGCTTTTCATAACCTTTCGGTCGATCCTACACTTACTTCGGGTTGCTATCCTTCATATTATTGACACCCCTGTCGTCCGCGTCAGCATGGAGTCTCGGTGCCGCTAACGTCATTCTTGCAATCACTCACCATCGACTGCACTGTCATCACGTTCATGAGCATTCGTCAGCCTTGCAATCGTCACCGTCGCCAGCATGGTAATCACGGCCATGGGGATGGTGATTGTTTTCGACCTCAAGCTATCTATCTATCTATCTATCTATCCATCTATCTATCTATCTATCTATCTATCTATCTATCTATCTATCTAGTCTCTCTATCTCACCAATAGAAGCACAACTCCGAACTGCATCATCATCAGCATCATCATCATCATCATCATCATCACCGTCATCATCAACATCATCATGACCATCATCATCGCCATCATCACTGATGCACTTGCCTGTCCCTTGTCCGGATGAGCATTACACTCTGATACTTCTCGTCGGCCTTGGTAACTCTCGACCAGCGTAGTCATGACGGCCAGGTACCTTACAGACAAAGCGCGCGTAACCAATAGCACTGGGAGGGTGCCGGGTTCGTGGCCTTGGGATTTGGGTTTCGGGGTTTAGGTTTCTTGCCCCCGGCTCTAACCGAATCAGATGCCCCCGTGTAGCTGCGCGCGCAAGGGGCTTCGGTTTCGGATCCTGTGCGGCATCCTCGCTTACATCGTCTCAGTGAAATTGGACTGCGGCTCCTATGTGGCTGCTGAAAGAAGACGACATCTCAATCTTCCCTTGCTCTTCACATGCATCCACGCATCCGCCCGAAACGTAAACCCTGAAGTGGGCTGTTCTTGGAGCCAATGTACACATCAAGAATATCTGAATATCACTAAAAGAACGGGCTAGGTTTAGACCCTAAACTTTAAGACCTTTAATGGGACTTCTCCTCACTAAGGGCGCAGCCGAGTCAGAAAAAACAGCAGGTCGGCCTGCCAGTGCTTCATTCCAGACTGTTTTGCAGCCAGGACCGCCCAATAACCCTTTAATAGAGCCCTTATGGTCCCTAACAGTAGGTATTTGGGATATAATAGAGGGTACCTGGGGGGTCTAGGAGCATACTGAGGTTTAGGGCTTGGGGGGTGGCTTAGCGTTGACACTTACCACGCGGGGACCAGTATCACTATATTCAGGTAAGCCCCTTTAGCATTCCCTGACTCGGGGGCTGTTGGAGTAAGGAGAACGGACCCCAAGCTAACTGAAGTGACCTAACGTTGACTGTAGCCTGTGTTGGGGTTCCAAAACAACTTGGGCTATGCCAAGGCCCTAGCCTGCCTAGGCCTCACATCCTAAGTTCTTCAGGCTGACCCTTGTCACATGTTTGCGCGGCCCCTTTTCCCCGCCGGTTCCGTAGAGTGTCCATTTCATACAGGAGGTGAGAGCTGACGGCCTCCAGACGAAGAGAAAGCCTGAATCCCTGCACCCCAGAGCGGTTAGCGGAGATCAGTGTGGCGCCACGGTTCTGCAGGACGAATTCAACTCCGAGGGGTTGACTTCGTGCAGCGCTTCCGCAGCTAAGGGCTTAGACCCTGCCGGCGATTTTTGTAGCAAGTCCGTCCGAAGGCGCCATAAACCGCTCCAATGAAGACCCTAATTAAACAAACTTGCCGTGTCGTTCTAGGTATCTTGAGCGGGCTTGGGACATGCCGAAACTTAAAGGCCAAACGAGGTTGTTTACATGTTGACAGCTTCAGCCAAGGCCAACAAACTTAGACGATACAGGGCACCGAAGAGGTGATGGTGTATCCTTGATCAGGTTCACACACCCCAGGCATCCGAACAGGGCCCTAAAGCGCAAACCCATCACCTCAAACAAGAAACCACGAAGTCGACGTGCCTCTTTTAAAGACTCGGCTATGGTTGTAAAGTTCGCCACATCTGAGAACATGATGGTCACCTGTCAGCCGGGTTTAGAGTTTATAGGCTTTGAGGGCAGCACAAAAAGCTCAACCCCGGAACCCATGAGCTCCAATGATGGGGTTTTAAGTGTAGGTTGTTGTTGTTGTTCTGACGTGCGTATCACAGACGGTAGGACTTCGGCGCCTGGCACCGGCACTTCCTACACAAAACCCCCAGTCCAGATTGCAGCTAGGTCAAGGCTTACCTCGTTTGGGCTGTGGGGGTCTTCTGCGAGCCTTTTGGGGCCTGGGCAGTTGGAAGGTGAGTGACAAATCTGCATGGTTTCGCCTGTCAGTCTTGATGCAGATTCACCAGTTCGAGGAACTCATGTGCGGATGGTTCAGGGATGTGGTAACCAAGCTTCCGATTCTCTAACAGAAGAGTCGTTGGTTGCAGCCCGGGTCGAGACCCCAGTATCTTCCTGCAAAAAGGAGCAGACTTTGGGTTTAGGGTTTAGGGTTTAGGGTTTAGGGTTTAGAAGTGTGCGGCTTGAGGCTTCAGGGTTGAGGTTTGGCTCTGTGTTGCGGCTGGGGCAGATTACTAACATCCCCAGTATGTATTCCAAGAAAGAGTGGGGAAACTCGAAGCTTGCAGACTAAGAGTCCCAAAACCTGAAACCTTGGCCTCGTAAAATGTAGGGGTCTTAATGATTAGACGGGGGTTTTGGGGCCCATTTTTCTATAATTACCGTGAGGAACCACCAGAAAAAGTACAGGTACTTTGCAGGCCCCTACATTAGGACCGACGCTTCAGTTCGGTTCGGCTCCAAGGCTCGCTGTACAGGGTTACGCGGAGGATCAGGGGCGTGAGTTTCTTCCCCCGATGTCAAATGCCTCCCTCCCGTCGCAAATGCTAAGTATACGTTTCGGCGAGGAATGTTTGATTCGGGAGTCCATATCCTTCATGTTGCCTTTCCCCAGAGCTTTCAGAACGTTCGGGAATGGAGCTCAAACCACACACTGGAAGGTGAGGACTCGCTCTGGACATCTATTGTCTGCCCCCCCAAGCTCCCAGCTAGGTAGACACCTACACCCTAAACTCGTCAGCAGGGATGACAGGAGTCGTTTGAGACAGAGAGAAAAGAGAGAGCTTCGTTACGGGCTGGGTTGCTTCCCAACCTTCAGCCCTTTGGGCGACCCCTTAAAGGGACCGCCCAATCAGCCGTAGTACTGCAGAGTGACCTAGTTTTTTTGGAGTGTTTGGAGGCAGCCCCGGCCCGAATGCCTCCCAATTGTGATTTTTCACGGCTGAGAATTAAAAATTGGAGGAGCAGATAGACAAGTAAGGGTATAGACACAGTTACCTGAGCTACAAACCCTGCTTTCTACACCTCCTTGTGCTGCTTTAAGCAGCTCTTGTTGCTGAAGACTCAGGGTTGGCCACTCTGGAGGTCAGGTTTCGGGCCTTCCGGCGACGAGCATGAAGCAGCTGATGATGCTGGCCGTCAGTGCCTGGAGCATTGATCTAGGGGCCATAGTAGTTAGAATGCGGTTTTGGGGTATAGTTCTAGTAATGAACTTAAATTAAGGAATTATACAGGTAAAGATTTCGGCTCCGTACACATTAGCAGAATGCAATGTGGGACGGGGTTTGAAAGAGTCTATCGGAGGTCCTTGAAGGAGTTATACGAGCCGTAGTGTTTCAGGAGCTGCGGGTTTAGGGCTTTGGGGATTTAGGTCGGAGGTTTTGGGGCTTGGCGTTCACGGTCCAGGTTTTACGGTGTTGGTTCCTGGGTGCGAGTATTCACGGTTCACGAGATAAGACCCTATACAACCAACCCTACTATGCCCCCCGATGATCTGCACTAAGCTCTTCAACTGACGATGCCACGCAAGTGTGCGGCCTCAAGGAAAGAACTTATGCGGAGACACTATACTACAATATATAGTATAAGGACTAACAAGGAATACCATTGCTAGTTCTGCCGACCTCTATGTTATAGGGTTTCGGGACGGTCACTGTCCTTCTGAACCAAGCTTCTGTCCGCGGTCCCTGCCGGTTGGGCTTCCTGAAGAGGCCCGCAAGGCACCCCAACGCCTCTTAGGGAAAACACCGTATGACCATCATAGTTGATGACCCTACGTGGTTTAAGGTATCTGGACTTTCTGGCTCCTACTCATGGATTCGATTCAGGGTTTGAGGTCATCAGCTTTATACCGCCCTGAACAAGTAGATTAGGGCTTGCCGGCTATATGTCATGCTATGACCGCGGTTCTCAATCACGCATAATACCCACTGAGGCAGTTTTCCGTCTTCACTTCACAGATTTCATACGGCCCCTTTCCTGACATAGACCGTACACCCTAGAGGCAGAGTCCTCAGCCCAATCTCACCCGGGCATTAAGCCGCAAAAGCTAAACCGCCCTGTAGTTTAGAGTCGCAAACGCACAGTTGAAGCAACATCCTCGCTTGTTATACTCCCACGGAACGACCCCCTCTACATCGTGAGTCATGTTCCTCATTAATGAGCCTCACTACACCCTCCTTGACACCATACATAAGCTCTCTCTAAGTCAGACCCTGATTTCAGGGCCACTGAGGAGGAGGCAAACAATGTCTCGAACCACCTTCTTCGGAACAAAGCGGGTGAAGGACTCCACGCCCCTGATTTGAAGGTTCCGGATTATGAAGGTTGATGCGCGGGATTTATCTTTCTTCAGGATTTAAGTCATATGTGCTGAGATTTGATTGAAGACCTCAAGCCCCAAATCCTAAGGTGCTAATCCCTACACAGTCAACTCTGTAACTGTGGTTCGGCATGCAATGGCTGCTAGATCCCTGTGGATTCAAGCCGCTACTTCCTTCCCCCAACACCCCAGCAACTACAAGTCTAGACTTCCATCATCATGGATACTGCAAGATCAGGATCCCAAATCTAGAAACTAAAACTTAAAGATCAGAACCCAGAATCGCTTCATAAGGGTCTGCGGCAGCAGCAGCAGGTGCCACATCACCACCGTCGTCGTCGTCATCATCATCATCGTCGTCATCACCGTGGCATTCTTCTTCGTCATCACCATCATCACCATCATCACCACCATTGTCATCATCGTCACCACGTAAATGTCCGTTGGCATCACTGGTGTTACTGCTGCGCTTTGGCTGCTTCGGAGCACCCGCTAAAGAGTGACCGAAGTAACATACATAGACGCCTGGGCCTGAATAATCAGGATGCGGCTTCTTAGGGTAGGTTTTTTTCACTCTCGAACCAAAGAACTACTCAGGATTGTATGATGCGCAAGTTCTCAGCAGCATGGATTTTGGAGCAGCTATAACTGTTCTTTCTTTGGCTACAGGGCTCGATGTATATGTAAGGCGCACCATTCGGTGCAGGCAGTTGCTAGAAGACAGGGGCTGTTTGAGATCGTTCTGCCCGGCATTCCTTCACGTGATCCCTTTCACGGCGTCCTGACGCCCTAATCCTTACAAGAACCTCATGGATCAGAACACCTGAATCCTAACCATTTGGACCTGACCTGATAGAACCCTCATAGGAACCCTGTGCGCTGGTGTAGGATTGAAGCCAGAGCTCAGGAATCCATGTGCTTGGGTTCACGCCTAACGATTCTTTCGGTTTTCGTTCGTAAGGGTTTGGGGTTGTGGGTCAGTTTGAACTTCAGGAATAGGGTTTAGGGCTTTTCTGGGTTATGTGCCCGGATCCCTCAGCCGTAAGACCTGCCAAAGCCTGCAATGGTGAACCCCAAACCGTGAGCCCAAAAGAGACTGCCTCATCATCCGGCAAAAGGCATTCTGGAGGTGACAAACTTCCTGGCACACAAAGCACAGGCTTTTTGAAGGGGTTTCGTGGTTTTAGCTTACGGAAGCCTCTAACGAGGCTTAGACCAAAAGCATCAATGCCAGGTCAACCACTTAGATGCGTACATCTGTGGAGCAGCAACATGAGTAGAAACCTGTATAGGTCAGGTGCACTGAAGGGTTCTGGCTACACGTGCCCACATCCAACCTCCAAGTGCTGTGGATAGAGCTGGGGGAGCGCGGGATGCGTTGGATTCTGTGACCCGCCGCCTGCCGGCTTAGTTTCAAGTTACCCCCGTCGCTCGTCAGGCCGCTTTGTCTCAAGTTTCCAATCGCCTCTTCCGAGAATATACTGCAAAGTGAGCGGACGCATGGACGATGACTCAGGATCAGCACGTTCTGCCCCTCAGCAACAGAAGCACGTTCCGGGTTGCGTTCTCGCTTTCCTTTGCCCTCGTCTCCAAGTGCTGCAGGTATCCATCTATCTATCTACCCACCTACTGACCTATCTATCTACCTATCTACCTAGCTATCTACCTGTCTATCTATCCATCCATATATTAATATATATATATATATATATACATCTTCCTTGGTTCCTAAAACCCCTGAAAGATCCTGAAGCCATTAAACCCCAAGGCCCCAAAGTACTAACCCCCAGAAACAACCCTAAACCCACTAAGCCCTAAACCCGTGATCTGTAATAAGTTTAGAGTTGTTTAGAGGTTTATAAGGGGCCTTTAGACTCTGGGGCTGTAGGGCAGTACTGTTTGGGGCTTGCAGGGTTTGTCAACTTTCGCAAGCTGACCGGGCTCTTTCGGAACATAAGCAATGGCCCACGTCAGAAGGAATTCGGGAGAAGCAGGGTTTAGGGTTCAGGCTTTTTTCGGGCTTTGTAGGGTTGTGGAGGTTTAGGGTTTTTAGGGGCTTTGGGGTTTTGGGATTGTGAGGATGTCGTATGGGCCTTTAGCAGACTGCACTATGTAGGTCTTAATTTCGGGCTCACTACGGCAGGGGTTAAACTTCACGTCTACAAGTATGCCTTCTCCAATGCTGACTCAGATCTTGTCTGCCACGATTGCCATGCTAGTACGATCACGGCAGCGTGGTGGTGGAGGCAGTGGTCGCGGTTGTGGCCGTGGTGGTGGCAACATCGGGGCTTATTGAAATGGTGCGATCCTTATTGGATAAAGCTCGCGGACAAAGACACCCGAGAAATAACCAGAATTCCACTTTTGACAACCTTCGACCCTCGTATCCTTCAACCTAAAACTCTGCACCCAAAACATAAAGCCCTTAACTCTAAGCCCTCACGGTCGTGGAGAAAATCGGTGTGTAGCTCGCTCAAATGGCCGCACAGGTTAGAGGCTGGAGCTTGCGCCAACACCAGACTGCCTGAACGAAGCCTCCCCCGCCTGAAGGCCACTAACCCAAATACCCTGAACCCCAGTGTTTGGGTTAGGCTCCCCTGTTACTGGGCCTGAATCCGGGAACGATGTCCGGCACGAAGGTGGGACAGCTGGCCATCATCCAGCTCTAAGTCCTTAATCAAGTCGGTTCAAAGGGCTCTATGAAAGGGTTTATCATGGGTCTTGTATTTGGAAGCTTTTGAGCAGTATGGCTTTATCCGGGCTTACTGCGTTAACTTAAATTACATTGCGGGTGCCAATGCCTGTGTCGATTTCTGCTCTTTGAACCCTATGCCATAAACGCTCAAATCTTAAAGTTCCACTCCAGATATACTTTCACCAATGTTCAGGGGGAGCCCTATATACGCTTACCAAGCAAGACCCCGACTATAAACCCGGTGGCTTCTGTTTTGGCATTGGGATCCACGTGATGGACTGGGGAGCAGTTTCATAGCACAGGCATCCGTGGCAAACGGTCCCTTATCCTCCAACAGTATAAGCAATAAACTTCGAAGCCAAAAAGCCGAGGCCAAGCCCCCTAAATCAATGTGTCATAAATGAACATTCCTTGACCGAACAAGCAGTTGGTTCAAGGCCAGCAGACGCAGCAAATCCAAGATCAATATGACCCTACGCGAAAAATTGAGCGCACTGCGTGTTTTTCACGATACTCCAACTTTCATGGTCCTCACTCCACACCCCAGTGACATCGGGATTTATTCAGCCGAGGAGAAAAGTTTCAGTTTCTCTGCCATGGGGATAGAAACAAGCGTACAAATTCCTGTACTTAAAACCCTAGTGGCTAAGTCTCCTGATCCCTCAGGCAAGCCACAAACCATCGGAAAGCATCGAAGAACTCCATGAAACCCTTTGAGGTAAAGTTTACTGTTCGCCCATGACAAATCCTGAACGCAAAGCCCTACAACCTACCTGCACACCGAAAATGCATTTTGACGGACATCTATATATTTGTGTGTACTTTTGTGTGTATACACACACACACACATATATATATATATACACACACACACACACTCATTTACAGTCATCTCCGTTTGTACTAGCTATTTACTTACATTGTTCAAGTCTTACAATAAGCAGCAGTGAACATACGGGTAGCCGTCTACAACATGGCCCCTTTGGGAAACCCTATATAATTCTACTTTTAATCCGGCACCCTATGGTTGGGGAACCCAAAACCAGAGATCTCAAATTGGACAACCACCCACCTGCATCCTAAACCCTAAAGGCCCTAAACCCGAAACCCGACACCATCTGCATTTCTAGGGTTAAAGTGCGTGTGTTTTGAGGGTGAAGAAAATCGGCGCCCCTGAGGGGCCCCGGCCCCGAGCTTCACCATCAGCTCTTTGAGGTTGGAAAGCTCCTGGAGTCTAGGGGGTTTAAGTTAGTAAGGTTTATAGAGTTTACAGTAGAGTTTAGGGGTTTAGGGGTTGTGGGTTTAGGGGTTGAGGGTTTTGGGGTTTAGGGGTTTAGGCCCCAACAAACTGAAGCATGAACCGGATGGAGTGTCGGATGTGATCAGGAGGAGATCCTACAGTTCTGGAGGTGTGGAAAGAAGACCTCTGTATCGGCGTTGCAGTAAGTCTCAATTGTGAGATCCTTGGGTTTGTATAGCTACATGTACACTTGCAGATGTGTTAGCATCTGCCTATGTGCGCACATTTGCTTCGCTGCTATACGGCCCTCGTCGAAGCAGACCGTTTCTGAATGAACGCGGCGACAGCGGAAAACCCAAAACCCTGCCATCCCTACCAAAAAACACTAAAAACCGGGAAACCTCCAGGCCGGAAGCCCTCCAGGCCTGAACCTCCGTATCCGAACCCCTATAAGCCGACGTTCTAAGGGACCAAAACCCCCAAAGCCCAAAGACCCGACACATTCGAGTCCCTAAACCCCTAAACCCTAAACCCTAAAGTCTAGAACCTTGCCTGCAGCGGGCGCGAGACGAACCAGCTCAGAACGAGCAGCATGAGTACGGCCTTCGGCTCTCCGAATCTCCTTTATGCCTCTCAATACAGATATGGGAGTTTCCGAAATATAAGCGGCACCTTAATTTTGGGCTCCTTATAATAAGGATCCTACGTACCATTTAGGGTACTATATTAGGGTCTCTATTTTCGGAAGCCCCCATCATAGTTGTAGTTCTGTAGTTCTACAAAGTGTGACATTTATGCAGAGAGCAGCTTATGTATACAGCCACAGTTGGCAGGTACTGATGTCTGCACCGATACAAACAGCTTTAAATATCTGGGCACCGGAACCGACACAGGCAGACGTGGATACGGCTTTGGGATACTTCGACATGAAAGTTGGTGCTAGACCAGTGTCAGGAGGGCGGCGGGGCCAAGGCAACAGCAACAGACAAGTCTCTGTTTCATCGCGGTGCTCTGTCTCTGCCCTCAAGCATTCAACACCCGAAGCGCGGCTAACTCGTTTGTCAGCAGCGCCAGAACCATCATCATGTTGGTCTTAGTCATGACTCTAGCACCGCTCTTCGAGTGATGCACTACCATATCAACGGTGATTTCTCATGAGAGCATCACCTTCAGTATCGCAAACACCGTCAGCAATATCACGAGATTGTTCGTCTCATCTTTCTTCTCTATATTCAGCTTAGTGCTTGCACTCGCAAGAACAGAAGGCACCTTCATACACACAAACGACCTAGATGCGCTGCACAATTCTCTACACAAAATGCGCAAAAAACAACCCAGGCTTGAAACCTGAAATGGCCCCACACTGCCCCTCGAGGCGCGCACCGCCACAGCAGCCGCAGCAAGTGCTGCCAAAGCCTGACAGTGATGCTTCTGATTTAGGGGCCTTCCTTGCTTTAATGCTATGAACGGGGTTTTAGGGGTACATCTGAGTATACGAAGCAAGCATACCTTAGGAAACAGTATTGATATTTATTAGGGTTTCTGGAGCTCCTCTCAGTGTTTACATTTTTACCGGGGTATTGCAAGACTATATGGGGGCTCTAACGGGGATACAAGATTTCGACACGGACATTTCTGTCAACCAGGTACCTGCTAAGTCCTGACAAGCGCGGTGAGGGTTAATTACCCGAGCTCCTTGTGTATATTATGAGCTGCTGTCGAAACTTCTACTCATGGACCAAATGAACACGATAGTGATTGCGGTTTGCAAACCAGGGCTAGAAAGAAACAAGGTTTCCCCATGAGTTTCAGGGTTGGTGAGGTCACCCCACGTGTACTTAGCTAGGATTCCTTCCTTGTTGGACTTCTAACCGCTCAAGCATAAGACCTGGTAGAGAGAGCCCTAGGCTAATGGTTTCAGGTTTGCTCTGTTTGGGGTATCCCAAAAAGGACACCTAGGGCTGCTGTTGGAATCCAAATCCATGCGCTTGCTTCATTGCCTCTACACCGTCTTGTAGCTTCCACAAGGGTTAGGGCCCCTTTCAGGTCCTCTGTATAAGCCTGCCGTGTTATTTGGGGGACCTGAAAAAGCACCCTAACTTGGAGAACTTCCCACAAAAGAGTCGTACCTGAATCAAAAGCATTCTGAGTTTCCAAACTGCGGGAACTGCTGCGGCTCAGTGAGGCCCCACGACAAACTCCGAACCCTTGGGTTTAGGGCTTTATGGTTCAGGGGCTTTGAGGTTTAGGGTTTTGGGGTGCCATGCCAAAGCCCTGCTAAGTGAGGCCCGACAGCGCTGCATCGCAATGCCCTAAGCCATGCCTGACAAGATCAGGGAACCTAGTAAGTCGGACTATCCAGGTACGGTAATATGCTTGTCATTCCAAAGAAGGTACGGTATAAACGTATGTGCTAAGTACATGTGCATGATTCTGCAAGGTACCCCGCCTTTCATCATGCCGCACATCCCTGAAGCCTCAAACCCTCAATCCACACATTCAAATGCCCAACGCTCATCGCCCCGATCCCCAAACCCAGGATCGATTTTTGCTTTTTGGTGTGTATGTGCGGGTGGGTGCGTGTGTGTCCGTCTGTGTGTGTGTGTTTTTCTTTGCAAGGCCGTTATGGCAACGCACACCAAGCCGCCAGAAGCAACATAAAGCCCTACGCCACAAAGCCCGACGAAACCTCCAAACTCTCATCCCTAAACCGGCGACAACCCGAAACCCATGGCAGAGCTGCGAGAAGGGAGTCAAACTTCAGCTGCTCCGCAGCATCTACCTCAGAGCTGTAAAAGTTTACTGTCGGGTCTTAGACGGTTTCGTCAGGGTTCAAAAGGGCTTCAGGGTTTCAGGATCCAGGTCTGAGGGTCGATGGATTTTGGTGTTCGAAAGGTCTTTCGACTTTGGTTGAAATTTAAAGGTCCAGGACCTTGCCAAGGCCCTGTCTGAAGTATTGACAACTTTGCGGCCTTCAAGAAGGGCTCAGGATTTTTCAGGGTTTAGGGTTTGAGAATTTCGGCGCAAGGACTTGGAGTTCAGGGTTTGTAGGCTTTTCGTGCCTCGGTAGGATTCAGGGGATCCCTTGGGTTCTAGGGGTTCGATGTTTCCTCGAAGTCGCTCGAGGGATTCCTGTCCCAACATCTGGAGAGCCCCGAACCCGAAACCCCTGAACAGTAAAATCCCTAAACACCACGTTGCATCCCCAAAAACCCCGGCCTGCGTCTTCGACTCCTTGGTGCGCTCCGTGGCGAGCGAGACGAGGTTATCGTGGAAGATCGTCGGTAGAACGGTCACCTGGGTCAGAGGCTCGGGGGTTAGGGCTTGCGTTTTTGGGAGTTCTGGGTTTATCAGGGACCTTGCAATCGCCAAACCTACTAAATTCTATAGTGGGGTATAATAACAACCTACAAACCAGTAGGGTATGGTATTTTAAGGGAAGGTGTAGGGCTTACGCTTTAAGATTTAAAGCTCAGCGGTTCAAATTTGTTCCATGACGGTGTTTGTACACGGACTGCAAAGTAATCAAACGAATGATACAGCAGGTTGACCCTAAACCCTAAACCCAAAAGAACGATACAGCAGGTTGCGAAACGTGATCCCTAGACGTTGATCGTCCCAACCTCGTGAGGCCACTCCGTAACACCGAGTCTTGTAATCGAAGCCAACGGGCAGAACAGTTCGATTACCGTCTTGGCTAGGGTTTATTATAATGGCAAAAACGAAGCTTCAGGAATAAATATGTTCTTCAACAGCGGGGCCCCAACAAGTTCAAAGTCTGTGGGATGGACCAAATATATGAGGCCAAAGTTAAAACTCTCCGGCTTTCTTCGGTAATGATGGCTGACTATTCGTGCATCAAAAGTAATTACAATCCCTGAGCCCAGTGTGTTAAGCCGAAGCCAACACAATCGTTGATCTTCCCGACTTGCTTATCCAGTTTCTCAGATGCTGAAGAGTAGCAGCGCAGAGTACACATGCCACCCAAAAGATGCATGGCGGAAACTTCAACATCAAGGTCAATGAGCTTTGTTAGGCGCGCAGGCACCAAAACAAACGACCGCGGGAACAGTAGCGCAAAAGCCTAAACCCTAACTAACCCTATACCCCAGTTTCCGAAATCCTAAAACCCCAAAACCTCAGGAACAGAGTTGAGGAATGCCGGAAGGATGCAAATGCTGCGTTCTGGGTGCAGGAAGGAGGATCTAGGGTTTATGGGGCTTTCACTAACGAAATTCAGTTTGCCACAACATATATGGAGATGAAAGTCACCCGCTTTCCTCCAGATCTCGAAGACCCCAAAAGCTGCAATGCACCATACCTTATATAGCCCTTGCTACCTCCCTGTAGCGCGGCCAAGGGGCGATGAGCCAGCTGGTCTCTGGGTCCAAGTCTAAAGTTTGAGTACCCACAACCATGCAATCCTCGGACGCAGGCATGCTCCTAAACTCGAAGCTCTTGCAGGGGCCTAACTATGTTGCACTGCTGAAACGTTTTGTTTTATGACACGTGGTGTACGGGTTTTGAGGTCTGGGGCCTTGGGCTTGGGGTTTTGGAGGACGGCCGTGAACTTGCTGCTTTGAACCATGCGAAGTGAATCCTGAAACCCCTACCAGGACAAGGATAATTAGACCACCAGAAACTAACACACGATTCGTTGACTCAACCGTAACTCGAGTTTCGAGTTCTGTTTTCAGTGTCCCGAGCGGGGTGTCTCGGTAGTCCTTACAACAACCCCCTTGGAAAATTGACTCGTGCCCACGGTTAATGTCCCGGCGCATGTTTGGGCGGTGCGTCAAGATATCCTTTGGGCCGCTGGTTTCGTAAGTGCACACATGTTGCCCTCGAGCTCCACAATGGCAATACCCGAAGTATAGACATACCAGCCGTCGTTGGTTTTGTATGTGCAACCACAGATGACATTACACGTGGTCAGGGAGTCTGCTGCACGATGTGCTTCGGGATTCAAGGCCCAGGGCACTGTGCTCCGTGGCCTAAAATTTCAATCACTCGCTCCCCAAATAAAAGCGAATCCCCTGGCCTAAGCCGATGTAAATGTGGACTTGAAGCCCAAAGCACTAACTTCCCCAAACTCTAAAACTAAATGACCACAGCCTAGTGGCAAGATCATGATTCCAGCTCGCCTTCTGGGCATCACAGTCCTGCATTCTTCGGATTTGCTGAACGGTGCTTGGCACGTTTTGGGATTTTTGGCTAGGGCCCTCCAACCCGTGAACTCAAGAGGCAGTGGGCGATAGTATCATTATATGAATGGGCATGTTCTTCCCTGAGGCCCGCCTAGCTTGAAGTTTAGAACAAGCTTGTGCTGGTTGCACACAGTGTCAAGGCGGACGTTGGTCTGGGTCGCCTCCTGCTGTGTAGGTCAGCATGAGAGAGAGAGAGAGAGAGAGAGAGAGAGAGGGAAAGAGCTTCTTTTGCGTCCCCATGATATCCGCAACATACTGGGTGGTCAGCAACCGACCATGTGCGTCACGGACATCTTGAGCTAGTCAAGGCCGCTCCGTCGCAGGCACGGCTTGACCTTCTGGTGCACTGTCCGACTGCCGGGCTTCCAGGAGACTCTGCCGTGGAACGGGAGCGGGGCATCCGGCTCTGCTGGCGATCCTGCAAACCTTGCGGACCTTCCACCAGTAATTTGGGTTGTACCCTCCTTGTGCCATGGCCTTGCATGCTGCGCCCCAGGCCCTCAACAATTATGGGGGTTGTGAAGAACATGCTACAGTTGTTCACGTGTGGGTTTTAAAAAGTCTTTCAGCTTAAACTGGTTTAAGGGGCTCTACCCGGGTCATATCAGGATTCTTTAAGTGTCTATACGGGCTTTTTTGACGATACCTTAGTTTTATATTCCGTTTTCATGAGAAGCTGAAGCCTGACATGGACTATCGGCAAATTCTGCTGAGCACACACTCGCTGTCAGAATTACCATGATATGAAGACCTGGGCTCAGCGTTTCGTCTGCTTCTTACAAACTGTGCAGGGGCTGAGGGCTTAGGATCCGGCACTGCTATGCGGTTTACTACAGAGTTACTACAGCACCTCTGGCTGTCCTCATAAGCCCGATTCGGTGTAGAGCCACAAAACGTCGAAAGACCATATCAAACACGAAAAGGAATTGAAGAGACCGATGTATAAGTTCGATACATTATACCCCCCAACTCCGCGCCGTGAAGCCTGAACTCTACGCCCTGCCTATCAACCCTCAGCGGCGCTCAGCACCAATTCGAACACCAAGCGGCCCAACACCAGATCTCAAGAACCCAGGTTCTGAAGCCTACAGCAACAGGGCCTTGTACTCGGGTGTATCGGAGGTGGCAGCGGCCAACGAGTAGTGAATGATGTTTGTGGAGCGCCGCCTGGAGGACCTCTGCTCAGCTAGTATATAGGGTTGAGGAAGGGTTTGACCAGGTTTCGGCCAAACTTCGGATGAAGGGCCTTCCGGCTTAAGAGAATTAGGGATTAGGGGCTTCTTAGGGTTTTGGGAGGAAGGCTTGAAGGAATCAGTTTTTGAGATTTGGGGCTTCGTGGTTCGGGTTGCGCCCATGATGTAGAAGCGATTCCGTGGGGATCAACCAGTGCCTCAATCAATAGAACAAGGATTTGGGGTATAGTAAACTATAGCCATGATGAGGAACCTTGAAGAACAGTAGTACTAATCTGTCAGGCCCTAGATGTTACTCAATTCACATCTAGTCTCCGTTTGGGGTTTAGGCTTGCGGAACTTGACCCTCTGGAGTCTCGGATGGCGTTGCTATGACCCCACTCCTCTGGAGCAGAAGCCCAATCGGCTTTTCGGGTATAGGATCCCATCAATGTAAGAAGGAACTCTAAAAGATACTAGTGGTATAGCTACGGCCCCGTGTATTATCCGAAACGCAATCTACTTGGCCAATGATGAGAACCCAGTCCCAGAGGCAGCAGGGAGGAGTTCCAGCTGCCGAACTTCGCCTCCTCGTCAGGGTTTTGGGGTTCCAGGGTTTCGGGCTTAGGCAATGCAGGGCTTCAGAGTTTCGGGTCTGGGGGATTCGCGGATTAGAGTTCTGAGTGGATCAGGGATTGCTCTCGGTGGGCTGGAAGATGGGTTAGGGTGCCTCAACTCTTCGCCTGGATCCTTTAACCTTACAGCCTTCATGCCATTTCAACCACGGCAAAACACGATTAGCACACCTTTATGAAGCCCCTTTTAACACCTCGTATGAGGGCATAGGGGTTCGAGGTTTTTGTATTCGAATCGTAGCGGCACTCATCACCGAAGGTTACAACCAACGTGAGTCTGTGGCCAATACAATTGTAGTTGGGTTGCAAGTGCCTTGAACCTCCAAGTAGGCGGTGGCTCTGTAGGATTTGCGGTTTAGGTCTTACTTGTGGGGCTGAGGGCAGCTATAAGCCGAGCATAAAAGCACTCTACTTGGGATTATGAACGGTCATAACTTCAGCTGCCGCGCTTGCAACGCTACTTGCACTCAAGCCGGGATTAGGGAGCGTAGAGCTCAGGGTTTCATCTGGGACCCACATAAATGCCTACTTCGGACCTACTTACATCAGTAGAGTTTGGTTGAACCGCAGAACTCCCCCGAGGTCCATCTATGTGCAGTGTTGAGAAGTTTAGCAAGTTCATGTTGGCAAGAAGCTAGAGGGGGCAGGGGATCGGTTTCTTGGTTTACTGCCTGGGCTTTCTGCCAATCCCTAAACCCAAACCCTGATCTGTCTGCTAAGCTTGACCCCGAAAGCCCAGAGCGTAAACTGCAAAACCCAACACTTCACCAAAGTGTGAGGACTTACGACTTCAGGCAAGGGGAGTCGCCTAGGACTGAGGAGCTCACTCTTGGTGTGTGTGTGTGAGAGATGAGGCATGTGGGAGTTTCAGAAAATTAGGGTACCTTATTTTGGGGTCCTTTTAATAGGGATCCTATTATTTAGGGTACTATATTAGGGTCCCCTATTTTCGGAAACCCCCATGTAGCTTCAATCATCATGAAAGCCTTCCTTTAATCCTGAGTAGGATCCCCAGACCTCGGGCCCATCTTCACGTAGAAGCCTTGACAATTAGAATAGGGCTTTGGTGTATATTATACTATATAATTATAGTAAGGAGCCCCCAAAAGAGTATTGGTAGTTATTTAGGCCCCTGGTCTTTTACTAACTACTTCCCCAGGTAGAATCTGGAGTTCGGAGAGCTCGGGGAGTGAAAGCAACAAAAGCCGGCTGCCGGGCTGGTTATGAGGAATCAGGGGATTGGTGGAGCTTGATCGGGGTTTGATGTTAACCTTGTCGCCCTTTTGTAACCCTAAAGCACAAGCCGGCTGAAACCCCAAGGAAACAGAGAGACTTCCGATGATCCAAGCTGCGATGACTCGAGCCGAAGAGCGGACAAGCTCCTTATCTCAAAGCTTTTGGGCTGCGTAAGTGCAGGGTTGAAGCTCCTCGTCTCCAGCCTTTTGGGGGTGCAGGGTTTTGTGGTCAGGACCCTCCGGGTGCCCTCAAAAAGGGATGTATTTTTCGAGGGTAGATGAAGGGACTAGGTGATTTCTTGTTTTTGAATCAGTGTCTCGGGTGTATATACGAACTTGGGTTGAGGTTTTTTTCGGTCTTTACGGGTGCCAGAAATTTAAGAACTAGCATGTAGTCAGGGAGTTGGAGAACCCCCCACAGACCCCGAACAGCCCCTCGGCCACTGGACTTCCCTGCAGGAAAGGCTAAGCACCAATAGTTCCCACGTCTAGGGTAGGGATGTGAGAGAGAGACAGAGAGAGAGAGAGAGAGAACAGAAGGGTTGACAAAAGTCGAATCATGCTGTGATTGTGACAGTACTCAAGCATGTGTGAAGGTTTGTATCCCTACTCCAACCGCATGGTAAGCAACAACTAGCGTTTACAACAGAGGCGCAGAGCCCTCGAACACCTAACAATCAACTAGTTAAACCCTGCACCCTACAGCCCTAAACTCTGAAGCACTAAACCCTACAGCCCTAACACCTGCATCCCAGTACCGCGACTAGCTTTCGGGCAAGATGCGCCCTCCTTGCCGCCCAGATCGCGGGCCTTTCATGCTCTTTGCCATTTCGGGTCTGGTGTTTAGGTTCGGGGTTTATGGCTTCAGGTGCGTTTTCCTTGCGGCTTCTTGGGGCTGAGCCCCAACATCAGGGCCCGGTCGGTCTAAGGATTCGGCGTCGGCCCCGACTGCCCGATGACAGAGCTGAGCACCAGCTGCCAACAACACAGGTCACTAGGGCTCCCTGGTCTATCTTCAGTATCAAGAAAGAACACCAAACACCCCTGGTCTCATTGCTTCGGGGCGAAATAATAGAATAGGGTACCGGGGTCTGTTGAAGTAGTATATAAAGGTAGTATGTCCGGATTACAAAAGGGATCTTAAATACGGAGAAGGCCCACCCTTGAACCCTGAA